CCCTCCTCCTCCCTGATCTAAGAGCTCCCAGATTCTCCTCCCCCCAGCTTGAGTAATATCCCCCGTCTTCCCTGGATCCTGTTACTTCCCTTTCTACTGCCTAACAAAACCCAGATCTCATAGCCGCAGCCTTCCTTCTGAAACTGGTGAGATTCTCTCCCTGTTGCTTCTGTGCACAGAGACCACATTTCAGGAGCTCTGCCAGGTGGGGCTCATGATCATTCTAGTCCTCCCACTCCAGGCCTGCTCCCCATCACGCCTTTTCCAGGATGCCTGCCCTCAGCCCTCAGCCCCCCTCTGGGCCCCGTCTGGCCCCTCATGCGCTTGTTGCCCGAGTAAGATTTGACTTTATCATTTCCACTGGAGTCAGGAAAACTCTGCTGCGTTTTTGTGCTGTCAGTCATGGAGTTGAAAGCTCAGTTTGGGGGAAAAAGCTGTTAGTACGTGTGCTGGGCGTCACGTAAGAAAGTCAGATTTTTTTATTGACGCGTTTTGCTGGGTGACAAGCCCTCTTCTTCATCTTCTGCTGCCCTCCCACATTTTCTTCTTCGTGCTGTCTCAACACTCAAAGGCGATATTTTCTCTTCTGTATTTTACTAGTCTGGCAGGCTTTTCTAGCGTCTTGTATGGTGTCCCTAGAAGACTGTGTCCCTGAGTCTTTTCCGGATGCTGGTTCGTTACTGCCCGTCATTGAATTCTCTCATTGGCTTGTAAATCACTTTGGAGAAACGGCTTCTCTGCGACGTGGGCTCTGCACGACCGGGCTTGTGGCACATTCATGCAGCTTCCTGTCCCCCAGCTGCATTGACTTGTTCTCCTCAAGTGCGTCGCCGCATCTCAAGGGCCCGGTCTCTTATACATTCTATAAAGTTGTGCCGTATAAATAATAATACGGTTTTGGCTGCTGTGGCCACGTAAAAACTCTCAAATGCCACACGGAACACTGAATATCACATCACCCCGTGACAGACGTGCTGATGTATTGGCAGAAGCTCTTGTCTTGGACTAACGCTTCACAGTCTTTACTTTATGATTTTTCTAAACTGTAAGACATCTTTTTCCTCTGACAACCCTTCTTACATTTTTTTAAAGCCATCTCTTGAATGTCTTTTTTTACCCATTCAAACCGTAAATTGGTTCATATAATCTAAACTTGCTAATAGAATGCCCTTCGACTCGATAGCCTTTTCAAGCATTCCAGCCCGGAATCCTCGTAACACGGTGATCTGTGAGACAAAAACGTGGGTGGCTTCGTTTCAGACAGAACAGGTTTTTTTAATTTTTTTATTTTTTTTAATGTTTACTCATTTTAGAGAGAGAGAGGCAGAGTGTGAGTGGGGGAGGGGCAGAGAGAGGGAGGCCCAGAATCCGAAGCAGGCTCCAGGCTCCAGGCACTGAGCTGTCAGCACAGAGCCCGACGCAGAGCTCGAACTCATGAACTGTGAGATCATGACCTGAGCCGAAGTCAGACGCCTAACCAACTG